CGTTTTAAAAAATCGAAAAATTATTTTTATACAACTTAAACTCACTTTTTTTACTTATACAAGAACCATTTAAGAATGTAAATCCATACGGGCATACACAAGTGGCAAATTCATCTGTTATTAGGCAACTTGCATTAAGACTTGCACAATATTCCCACCAAGATATTCCGTCATCTCTGATCACTTCGCAAGTTTCTGTAAATATTCCCCAGTTACATTAAATTTTATATACTTCCGTAATTATATTATTATTAAAATTTGCAATAATTTTTACAACTAGATGAAGACTGTAATTACAGAAATACTTCTAAAAATACAGAAAGCAGAATTAAGAAATTGATACAGTAAAGAATTAGTCAAAAAGTATATTTGAAAAAATAGTTTATTAAAATAATAGCTGATATGTATTCACAGAAAATAAATATTTTAAAGTGGAATTTAACTAAAATATTCACTTTTACCATAATAATTATAATCGTAATACTTATAACATCAGGATAAATTGTTCAATTAGTTAGAGCATGTGCAACGGCATTCAAAGTATCAACAATAAAATATACTGAAAATTACATTTGCTACCTACATTTTGGTTAAAACTTACCTTTCACAGTCTTCACTATAATAATAAAAAGACTGGTAGTAAATTTATGCCGATTCCTCTAAATACTATACTAAATTTTATCTTTAAATTGTATTCTTAATCTTTTACACTGCTTCCTTTTCTTTCTATATAAAATCTGGAAATCATTGTCTTTTCCATTAAACACAANGAAATTATTCTCAGAGATATAAGCTCAAACAACATCTTAATAGATAAAAAAAATGGAGCATATTTGATTGACTTTGGTCTGTGCACAGTAAGTACTGTACGCCTCTTACTGTTCTTCAATTGTAGTTTTCTTATAATTTTATATTTTTCAGTCCGAACGCAGTCCAACAGACTTCTGCGGCACTCTGTTCTATTTATGCCCAGAAATTCTTCAACAGACAGAATACGGTAAGAAATGTTACTTACATTCAATGAATTTTTTATTTCTTTTTTTTATTGGTGAAATCAATGTATGGCTTACAGACGCTTACTGCGATTGGTGGGCGTTTGGAGTTGTATTATACCAGATTTTGGTTGGCAAAACTCCAATGGACGTTTATCTGGAAACACTTATGTCCTTGGAAGATTTCCAGACATTGCCGATAACGGAACAAATCAAAAGTAAGAATCAATTTAGAAGTGGTTAACAAAAAATAGAAACGATGATTAATATAAAAATGTCACTGCAGTTGCTGAAGAAGTGGAGTTGACGTATTCTTTTGAACTACCGCAGGATGCCAAAGAAATAATCCAGGATTTGTTACAGAAAGTAAGTTTATAATGCATTTTATGTAATTAATTTTCTGATTTTTTTACTATACATTTCACGAGAAAAAACTTTTTTGAATATTTCTTATATGCCTTGCTGTTTTATTTTGATATATTGCACGTTTTATATTAACTTTAGGCATACAATCTTACACGTTTTAAGGTTAATGTGAACTTTTTAAAGCATTTTAAAATTTTTTACTGAATCACTTCTCTATTAGTTCATTACGTTAATCGCGCATTGAATTCTGGTTTTCAGTAACTGAGTTAATTACATTTTAATTATTGGTAAGACATATAAAAAGTCATCGACGTATCACGCCTCACTTGTTTGCTTCATTATAAGTTCTCTGATATTAGTATACAAAGACGAAAGTATGATAATTGAGTCTAGAAGTTGGAACAATTCTTATTAACTATCATTATATTTGACCATTTCAGAATCCCGAAGAACGTCTGACAGAAAGAAAAATCGAAAATCACAAATTTTTCGCTGATGTGCAGTGGCCAATAATGCCGAAGACTTGAGTCATTATTTAAGACATGCACAGAATTGTTCGAAAGGATTATTTCTGTCTTTTCATTTATTATTATTATTTTAAGTATAATATTTACATTGTGCATACACAATGGTTTTGTTTTAATTTCAAATTTTATTCGTTATAAATAAAGCGTAATTAATTACTAATGGTTTCCGCCCGTTTTGTTTATGTTAGTGTCAGACTATCAGCTCATCCGCATCTTAAATGCATTTTTATAAATAATATATAATTAGGAATAGCTGAATGACTTCTGAATGAAAGAAGGGTTATCGAAAGAAAATCTTATAAAAATATATGAGTATAACGAGCAATTATTTATTGTGATATGGTGACAATGCCGGGCTGCAATTTTTAATCATAATTTTAATTTATTTGATTTAAAATACTTCAAACGGTACTTTTTACCTCAAACGGTAGTATTATGCTTTTATATGTCATACTTTTCCTTCAAAAAAGAGTCGTACCGGCCCTCTATATAATTCCGTTCTGAAAATTATGTAGAGACAAACAGACAATCAAACAGACGTCCGAAAGTGGGAATTTATAGGTCTACAATTTTTTAAATTGCAGGCCAATTAGCTTTATGAATTGATGCTTAGTATTTAAACCAAGTCTGTTTTAATCAAGAGTTCAGTTAAAAAATTTCTTCAGGTTTCAAATGCGTAAAATAAATTTGGCATTAGTAGTGTTAAAATTGCAGTGTAAAAATGCAAAAAACATTTAATTACCAAACTGCAGTTTGTACATAAACAGAATTTAGTAACATCACAATACACTCTTCGTAACGTCTTATGGAGACATTTTTGTTTTAAAAGTCATGTAAAATAAACGGAAAATAAGACAAGGAATTAATTTTNTAAACACAAATATTTATTTTATAAATCTCAAAAATTAATTCATTTGGAAAAAATATTCAAAAACATAATATACATAAACTGCATAAATTTAAACGCCAAGCAAACTTTTTTAAAATAAAATCGAAAGATAATTATCCCCAGACCATTACAGACAATAAATATTATACCATAATCCATCGGTTCTCAAAGTCTGCGCCGCGGCTTCCTCACAGGGGCGTCGCGAAATACTATAAAATTTTCATAATTTCACTTCCACTTTAAATTCAATGTGATAAGATGCGATATCTAGCACACGTGACGCAAATCATAAACTCAGTAATGAAACCACATAGAATCGCCAAATGTAAAAAGCCACATACTACCGCAGAAAAACTCATTCTACCAGCTACTGAAAATATGGTAAACATTATGATCGGTGAGTCGGCTGAGAAGCAACTTTCAAAAGTGCCATTGTCCAATAACATTATCAGTCGCAGAATACAGCATATAGAGAAGGACCTCCAATGTTCAGTTATTGAAAAAACAGAAGGGAAGCTATTTGGATTGCAGCTGGATCAAGATACAGATAATAATAATGATGTTCACTTGATTTGCTGTGTACGGTTTATAAATAATAATAACATTGTAAAAGACTTTATCTTCTGTAAAAGTATCACCACTGATGCTAAGCCTCACGACTTGTTTGAGATCCTTGATATTTTTATATCCGAAAATAATTTGTAGTGGACCAAATGCATTGTTATCTTTACTAATAGTACTCGTTCTATATCCAGATGTAATGAGGATCGCAAGCATTTTTTCAAAGCAAAAACCTAGATGCGCTGTGCACCCATTGCGTTATTCACAAGAAAGCACTCTCATCAAAATAGTCCTGCATTGAACCAGAATATGTAGTAAATGTAGTAAATTTTATAAAAAACGGCCATTGAATGCAAGATTTTTCAATAAACTATGTGAGGATGTGGGATCCGAGCACACGTTTTTGTTGTTCTACAGCACTTCGAGAAAGATCAAAACATTACCACAAGAGAGCCATCGCTCTCTCGAGGTAATATTTATCTTGTATGTTTGAACTGCAAAAAGAAAATTTATATTATTCTTAAAAAGAAAGACCACAAGTATGCCGAAAATTTTGTGATTGAAGATATTTCGGTAAAACTAGCATACTTATGTGATATTTTTGAAAAGCTGAATTCTCCGACTCTCTCCCTGCAGGGAAGCAACATGTATCTTTTAAAGTCGATTCAGAAAATTTCAGCTTTTATAAAAAATATCAAAACTATGGAAAAAAAATAAATGAAGACGTTGGAAAGAATGTTTCCCCTTGGTGCAACAGCGTTTGACTTCCAATGGAGTTGATTTTCTCGAGGTATGAACTCTACTTTTGAAGAACATTTATCACATCCTATTCACCTGGTTTGAGAAATATTTTGAAATGATAACATCGATAAATTTGCATCGATTCAAAATCCATTTAATGCCAGTGCTCCGTCTGAATTTACTTCTGCAGAAAAAGAAAACTTTATTGAGTTGTCTTGTAACAATACGTCGAAAACGAAATTTAGTAGCATGGAATTAACTGAACTTTAGATATCAGTAAAAGATGAATATCGCTTCTGAGTGATAAAGCTCAGAGAATCTTAATTCCTTTTGCGACTTCTAATTTGTGCGAAGCCGTGTTTGTCGCTGTTATAAAAACTATGCATCGCACGAAAATCAGTGTGAAGAAGGAAATGAGGGTGGATGTGTCTAGTTTGATTCCAAGGTTTCAGAAAATGTGCACTAATCAACAGTCTCATCCATTTCACTAATTATAATTAGCCTAATTGAATTTGTTTTATTTACTTTTTACTTAACGTCCTAATTCTTTAATTTAAAAAATATTTGCTATTTAGCAACTTCGCAAATTCTACTTCTTAGAATTGGACGCTTTTACTGAATTCAGTAAAAGCGCCGAGAATCAAAAAAGTTTAGAAATCACATTAATGATGACATAATCAATTCGCATGTTATCACTATTGTTTTTTTTACAGAAATAAATTTGGAAGATTAAGGTAATTTTTAACAACATTTTTAACAAATACTGCAAAACTGGATGGCATTTCATTAAAAGCATTAACTAACACCTGTAATACAGTTAAACTGAACCAATTTATTATAGGAACAAATGTTTCATCTGTCTTTAACAACCGGTTATCTTTAAGTTATGAAAAGTTACATAGAAAAAATTCAAAAAATAAAATATCAATAAGTTCTATATATAATACTTATATTATATTTAAATATTGTTGTTAAAAACAGATGAAAACTTTTGTTCTTATAATAAATTGGTTTATTTCAACTGGATTACAAATGTTAACTTGATGCTTTTAAAGTGATATTTATCCCGACAAACATATAAAAGATTACACGTATACATAAAAATTCACAAAAAATGTTAAAATAGAATATTGAAAAATATTTAGACATTTCCTCGATTTTTCACACCTCATAAACATTCTCATAAACAGTTGAAATCCTGCAAATAAAGGTCGACTCCACGGTAAGACCGTTATGTGTTGTCCATTTTTTAAAATTTCTTGTGAATTTTTAAGTACATACTTATTTTCGTGGCAATTCTATTAAAATGTTACAATAAATTCCTTTGACTCACCTCTACAAGAATCATTCTCGAATTTAGATCCATTGTGGCATCTGCAAGTGGCATTGTAGTAACCTTGTACACAGTCTGCCCCAATACTTTCACAATATTCTGACCAAGATAAGCCATCAATTCTAATCATTTCACATGTTTCTGTAATTATTATGCAAAGCTAAATTTAAGTAAGTATGTTTAACAATTTGTTTTATAATTAGAATTTGGTGTTAACTAAATTATAGATTACAGTCATACCCCGACTTACGCTACCCTGACTTACGCGAACCCGGAGTTACGCGATTTTCAAATCTCGTCGATTCGTCTTTTGTTTCAGCGCCACGCAACTCTTGATTATTCACTCCCCCCCACACTATTGTTCAGCTTAATGTTCGGACGTGTCGCGCAGAATCGACGCATAGCTACAATTTATTGTGTGTAATTTATTTCTGTTCGTTATATCTACGGAGACTCGAGAGACTCTATGTGGTAATTTTTTGTAACAGTGAACGAACCAAAAGGCGAGATAAGATTACCGAAAACATTTATTAGCTTACATACATCCGACTTGGATTTTACACAAAAGACATCTGCAATCGTGAACAATTGACGATAAAGTATACATTTATCAGATAATAAACAAAGACTCATTTTGTAAACAATTTACCTTTTGTATATACAACTGACAAGATTNGAAAAATTTATAATGTTAGTTTTCCAGTATAAATTCACCCGTTAATAAACAAAGAGAAAATATATTTTATTAAGAAAAATCTTTATCAATGGTTGTTTTTTTAAGTCTATGATGTCAACTTGAATTTATTTACAGAAAAATATTTAGGACCACTCTATTGAATTTCTTTTGTTAAGCCGTCTATTTCCTGCAGTGGTCACTATTCAATAAACCAATCTACAAAACTCTATATTTCGTTTATATACACTACTTGCCATTAAAATTGTTATACCAGGAAGGTAACACGCCACATACGTTAAATTTGCAAGACAGATAGAACATGCTGTGATTCGCAAGAGACTAGGTTTTCAACGCATTCATGCAAAGCAGGCAGTGCTAGTGACACCTACAATGTGTATAAAAGAAGAGATTGAACAGCAGGTTTCTTATACAAATGTTGCATTTCAACGCTGTTTTCTGGTAAGAACGTTGCTGTTATGCGTCGTGTAAGAAGGAGAAATGCCTACCAGCACGTGTCTGATTTTGATCGAGGTCGAATTGTAGCCTACCAGGATTTATCGGACTGCAGTATTGCTGCTCGCGTTGGTCGTAATCCCATGACTGTAAGGAGAATATGGAATCAATGGATTCAGGACAGTCATACAGAACGCCGTGCAGAATTTCAGCTGACCTTATCACTAATAGCCGAAAAGACAGACATCTTATCCGCATAGCCTTAACGGATCATACAGCCACGTCACGAATCCTTAGTCAAGAAATGGGACGTTTGCAAGACAACAAGTGTCTGCACGAACAGTTCGAAGACGTTTGCAGCAGTAGGGACTGTCAGCACGGCGACCATGGCTTCGGCTATCCTTGATGCTGCATCACAGGTAGGAGCTTCTCCAATAGTGTGATCAATGACAAACCTGGACGCAGGAATGGCGTCACATCGTCTTTTCAGACGAATCCCGGTTCTGTTTAGAGCAACATGATGGACGAATCCGTGTTTGACGGCATTGTGGAGAACTGACATTGCCAGCATGCATTCGACATCTTCGTACTGGCCATCACCTGGAGTGATGGGGTACTATTAGATACACGTCTCGATCACCTCTTGTTCGCGTTTCCAGCCCTTTGAACAGCAGCCGTTAGATTTCTGATGTATTAAAGCCTGTGGCTCTACCCTATCTTCAAGGCCTCTGTAACGCTACGTTTCAGCAAGACAATGCACGACCACATGTTCCTGATTGTCCTGACCTTTTTTGATACAGAACATGTTCGTCTGTCCCTTGGCCAGCACGTCCTCCTGATTTCTCACCAATTGAAAATGTCTGGTCCAAGGTTTACGAGCAACTGGCACGCCACCACTCGCCAGTCACCACGTTTGATGACCTGTGGCATAGTGCTGAAGCTGCATGAACTGCTGTACCCATACATGCTATCCAATCCCTGTTCAACCTCACGTCCAGGCGGATAAGTGCTGTTATTGCTGCCAGAGGTGACTGCTCTGGGTATTGATTTCTCAAGATTTATACCTCCAAATTTTCTAAATATTTAATTACTTGTTCCTCCCACTATGATGTGTGTGTCTAATAATAATCTGTTATTTGCATTCCTTTCTGGTGTAGCAATTTTAATGTCCAGTAGTGTATTTGCACTACACTGTGCATCCCATTTCAATAATTCGATAAGCAAAATAACCTGTTTTTCTTATGAATGAGCCGTAATTGTTTTGATAGATCATTTATATAATTTTGCTGATTACATTTTCATAGTCTATAATAAGTAAAAGATGTACATTAAAACGAAGTTACCAAGGTAGAGTTTCCTTTAGACCTTTTCTTCTTCTAAAACAAAGAAAAACGATTAAGCTCCTGGTTTAACGAATAACTTGTAGAAACGGAAATCGGTCGTTAAGTAAGAAGTGGCTGTACAATATAAATAAATTAAATGACCAATTTTGTATCTTTACGTGTTGATATGTAGCATGCTGATGTAAAGTAAGTGATGATAATTTTATCGAGCTTGATGCTAAGTTTCCTTCAAGTTTGATTTAAAAACTTTCCGGATGTTCCAATATATTTTATGTAATGTTTGATATATTTACGGACTGATTTTATATACAGGCACAATTATAAATCTTTTAGTGATATCCAGGAAGNAAATAAACGGAAAATAAGACAAGGAATTAATTTTAAAAAACAATAAAAAAATTAAATAATAAGATACATTGATACGAAAAAATGTAGAGAAAAATACGTACAATTTTGATTACTTAACTCTTTTCAATTGACGATGACAATCCCCAGGACGTTAACAAGAACTTTTTATGACCGCCTTTCAATTGCACCTTTTTATATCAATACTTTCGCAGCAGACTTTGCCAAATGGCATGTATTCGCATACTTTAAATTAATCGGCTTTAAATGTTGTAATATTTTACTGTTTTTAAAACAGCTTTTTTTATGTAGAGTTTTCTGAACATGTTATAACATTCTCTTTGGTTATATTACAACCATGTCCAATGCAATACAAAAACTAAAGGGACTGTCTATAACCTAATCTAATTGACGTCACGTGTTTCTCCAATCTCGTACTTTGCTTTCCCCTCGTTTCACCAATACAATTATCATTTTCCTTACGTATACTACTTTGTTTATACACCACAGCCGACGCGACGTTCTTTTGTTAAGCCGTCTATTTCCTGCAGTGGTCACTATTCAATAAACCAATCTACAAAACTCTATATTTCGTTTATATACACTACTTGCCATTAAAATTGCTACACCAAAAAGGTAACACGCGACATACGTTAAATTTGCAAGACAGATAGAACAAGCTGTGATATGCAAGTGACTAGGTTTTCAACGCATTCCTGCAAAGCATGCAGTGGTAGTGACACCTACAATGTGTATAAAAGAAGAGATTGAACAGCAAGTTTCTTATACAAATGTTGCATTTCAACGCTGTTTTCTGGTAAGGACTTTGTTGCTATGCCTCGTGTAAGAAGGAGAAATGCCTACCAGCACGTGTCTGATTTTGATCGAGATCGAATTGTAGCCTACCGGGATTGCGGTTTATCGTACTGCAGTATTGCTGCTCGCGTTGGTCGTAATCCCATGACTGTAAGGAGAATATGAAATCAATGGGTTCAGGACAGTCATACAGAACGCCGTGCAGAATCTCAGCTGACCCCATCACCAATAGCCGAAAAGACAGACATCTTATCTGCATAGCCTTAACGGATCATACAGCCACGTCACGAACCCTTAGTCAAGAAATGGGACGTTTGCAAGACAACAAGTGTCTGCACGAACAGTTGGAAGACTTTTGCAGCAGTATGGACTGTCAGCACGGCGACCATGGCTTCGGCTATCCTTGATGCTGCATCACAGGTAGGAGCTTCTCCAATGGTGTGATCAATGACAAACCTGGACGCAGGAATGGCGTCACATCGTCTTTTCAGACGAATCCCGTTTCTGTTTAGAGCAACACGATGGCCGAATCCGTGTCCGACGGCATCGTGGAGAACGGACACCTCTGGAGCATGCATTCGACATCATCATACTGGCCCATCACCTGGAGTGATGGGGTACTATTAAATACACGTCTTGATCACCTCTTGTTCGCATTTCATGCACTTTGAACAGCAGCCGTTACATTTCTGATGTGTTAAGGCCTGTGGCTCTACCCTATCTTCGAGGCCTCTGTAACGCTACGTTTCAGCAAGACAATGCACGACCACATGTTCCTGATTGTCCTGACCTTTTTTGATACAGAACATGTTCGACTGTCCCTTGGCCAGCACGTTCTCATGATTTCTCATCAATTGAAAATGTCTGGTCCAAGGTTGACGATCAACTGGCACGCCACCACTCGCCAGTCACCACGTTTGATAACCTGTGGCATAGTGCTGAAGCTGCATGAACTGCCGTACCATACATGCTATCCAATCCCTGTTCGACCTCACGTCCAGGCGGATAAGTGCTGTTATTGCTGCCAGAGGTGACTGCTCTAGGTATTGATTTCTCAAGATTTATACCTCTAAATTTGCTGAATATTTAATTACTTGTTCTTCCCACTATGATGTGTGTGTCTAATAAATATCAATCTGTTATTTGCATTCCTTCCTGGTGTAGCAATTTTAATATCCAGTAGTGTATTTGCACTACACTGTGCATCCCATTTTAATAATTCGATGAGCAAAATAACCTGTTTTTCTTATGAATGAGCCGTAATTGTTTTGATAGATCATTTTTATAATTTTTGCTGATTATATTTTCATATTCTATAATAAGTAAAAAATGTAAATTAAAACGAAGTTACCAAGGTAGAGTTTCCTTTAGACCTTTTCTTCTTCTAAAACAATGAAAACGATTAAGTTCCTGGTTTAATGAATAAGTTGTAGAAACGGAAATCGGTCGCTAAGAAAGAAATGGTACAATGTAAATGAATTAATGGACCAATTTTGTATCTTTACGTGTTGATATGTAGCATGCTGATTTAAAGTAAGTGATGATAATTTTGTCGAGCTCGATGCTAAGTTTCCTTCAAGTTTTATCTAAAAACTTTCTGGATGTTCCAATATATTTTATGTAATGTTTGGTATATTTACGGACTGATTTTATATACAGGCACAATTATAAATCTTTTAGTGATATCCAGGAAGCAAACAGATTACGTCAACTATTTCAACAACCTTTATGAAAACTGGTGCGATGTCAAACATAGTAGTTTATTCTGGATCCTCAACAGCTAAACAATAATTGTGTTGTAATATATTTTACTATACCTAATAATGATAAGCTAATCAATTTTTTGATATTTTCAGTTTCCCGTGTTTCCTACTCGATGACGTTAAGAGGAGTTTTTGCATGCCCTTTACAGGTTCAAACTGGTAGTGAGTAACAAGACCTCATATATTTTGGAAAGACTATCAATGAACTCCTAGGTTTCGTCGACAGGATTCGAATCTGATCCACCAAGAGCGGAAGGCTGGCATCCTTATTGCCCTGTCCAGCATTTTTAATTATTTATAAGTAGAAATAGGAATTTATTATGAAAAATATAATTGTGAAAAAATAAAAAGAATATTAAATTATCAAAAATAGACAATTTCCCAAAATACATTCAAATCGTATATTTATTGAAATTAATACTTCCTTACGACAATTGCAAATGAAAAAGTTTCAAGATATTTGGTTGTAAATTCGGCTAGGTGACAAAACTATATTTCACGTGTTCATTGTCATTAATCTACTGAGAAATAGAAAATATGAATCTAGCATCAAATCTAACAGCGTATTAGTTGAACTTTTGGCTACGTTTTAAACAATAATTTGAAATAATTTAATTTTGTTGTAAAAGGAGGCACCAGAGATGGTTACCACGAGCAGAACAACCTAATTATTAATTTATATTTTTTATATTCCATATAATCTTTTTAAATAAGATTAAGTTAAAAAAGATTTTTTTATTTAGATTTCAAATATTCATTACAAATATCAACAATAATTACTCGGGATTTCAACGTGAAGATGTAAAGAAATAGCGCAAGCATAAAAAAGATATAACTTACAATAACAACGTAAAATCGCTGTTAATATCAAGAGAAAAACAAAATATACAATTACAGCGATAAACATATAAATCATAGCACTTTGGTGTTGAACTCTGTTCTAATACAGAAACAGAAAAACACCGATTCTCTTTCTTAAGATATAGTCGAGACTTTTACAATCAATCAGGTTCCTGTAGAAACAAATGCAGATAATGCGAATTTTCTGCAAAATTGCATAATATAATGACTACAGCAGACATTATTAATGAAACATTAAACTTATTAATATAGTCCAACATACACATTTCAAAACAACCCTAAACACTAATTAATATGCATCTATGTCCTTAATTTAATCAAAATTATTTTTTTAATTACTGTATCAGTGTATTTCTATTAATAGGACTTATCATACTGGTGTCAAAGATTGCAGCCTCACAGTTACACAGATTAAATTTGTTTTTTTTTCAACTATCTGGTAATTGAAAAATAAAACAATTTTAATCTGTGTAACTGTGAAGCTGCAATCTTGTACACCAGTATGATAAGTCCTATTAATAGAAATACACTGATACAGTGATTAAAAGAATAATTTTAACCCTAAACACTGTTTATAAATCCTGGACCAAGAACTAACTTCATGTTTAGCATTAATGCGAATTTTGCCGAGAGCGTTGACTATATGATGGGGTTTTTTTATTTTTAAATATTTTTGTCCTCTGGGTATAGAACATACTTTTTTATTACCAATACCCATGCTGAATTTGGCATGGTCCACTATTTTTAGCCGACTGGAGTATAAAAACACTTTATAAAGATCAAGTTTCATTTCAGATGGTGATGGATAGTAGTTGTAAAATTATTATCTTGCTCATTTAAATTACAGTTACGTAGGACGCGGGTTCGAGCCCAGATTAGAAATATGAGATCAACCATATATCCAAAGCGCTCAGCAACTAAATACAGAGAAACAAAACACCTTTTTTGCCGAGAAATAAATATATTTTAAAGAAACAAACGTTTTCAGCCTAGTTAATAGGCTATCTTCAGGTCGAAAACTAAAATGGAACGTAAATGTTCCATGAATAGAAAATAAAAATTTTTAAATCAAAAAAATTTTACAAGAGAAAAAAATAACGGAAGAATATATAAAAATTAAAATAAAACAATAAAACAAACATAACATAAATATTCAATGTACTAATTCTGGTCGAAGTTTCTAGTAAATTTCTTAACCAAATATTTCCATGCCGAAGGCAGGCTCTCCGCATCCCTCGCATTTAAACAGCCTTCTCCTATCTTACTTCTGTATATTTCTATTTTCTCCGCCGTCATTGCTAGAGTTGGGGAAGACAGAGGTTTGATGATTGTTGCCTCATCCCATTTTACCTTAGAGCCTTGGGCTTGCACCATTTGGGACAAAATCGTTGAATTA